CCATTTACATTTCAATCCACTGCTTTAATCTACATAGTTTGGTGGGTATTTTTTCCTGTACAAAGCAAGCTGGCCCTAAAGTACAAAAATTGTCATAACATTAATGTCTCTTCAATGGGGTGCCACCCACCACCTAACACACCACGTACAGCATATAACGGGTACCCAGACTGATTACATATCCATAATTGCATTTTAGATGAAAATGACTTAATTCATGTAGAAACCATCACCTGTATGCAAAAAGAATCAAGTCTTGGGTCCAGATTAACACATAGACAAGGAGCAGTGTAAAGTAGTTGGAGAACAAATAAGGTTTTATTTGTTTGTGATACAATTGTCCTTTTGTACAATTTAATTATATTTCAAAGCTCTATGTATGTTCTTGTGCTACACAGTATTTTTGTGCATTATTATTGTGATTGAAGCCACATGATGCCGATGTGCATAAACTGCATACCAGTTTATTTGGTTTTGGTGACGCAGTTATGGGGCGCCATTTGTAAAGTTAAGCAGTCAAAAATTAGGAGCAATATCTATGGTTAAAATTAATGCACAATAAAATCTGTCTAATTTCAGCTGAAATAAGAGGATTATGCCTACTGATTTTCAAATATTAATGTTGTAATATAAGATACATTTTCAGACCAGTATGTGATGTTCCTCTAGTGCAGGCTATTTTTTAAAGTTGAGCTTCTCCAGTTTGATTGAATATCTACGGAGCCCCTCTGATGACATGGTCAAAAAAAATTTTTAATTGTGGCCACGAAGTAGTATAACGTGCGCACGAAATACTACTTCGTGGCCACAATAAAAAAATTTTTTTGACCATGTCATCAGAGGGGCTCCGTAAGTAATATCTCTTTACCTAAACATCTAAATGAAATGACTGAACCGCATTGCTGGCAGCAGTCTAATGTGTGTGGAAGCAAATATGCATCTAGAAGTTGCTGCCCTTGAGACCAGTGGCTTTAGAGTACATATACTTTCATAAACCACTGAAATGCTTACATGGCTCTATTTTTGGGTATAAGTATGACCTCAATGAACATTCCTCTCCACAGAACCAAGAATACGTACTGGCTATTTAGAGATTCTAAATTGCATTTGGGTTTTAGTGTACATGAATGGTTTTGTCTTGTTTGTCATATGTGTTGCCCTCTGATGGACTGATGGCCTGTCCACTGTGTATCCGGCCTGGCCCGGTGATGCCCAGATAGGCACTGACCTCTCGGGGATCCAAAATAGGAACAAGCGGGTATAGCAATGGATGGAAATGTGTTTAGGCATAGACATCCTGTTTTAATGTCTTAACTTTTTCAAACTTTGTTGTCAACTGGACACCCGTAACATTTTTGTACACATCTTGTTTGCATTGCAGACAGACAGGAATGCTGTGGGAGATTCTTGGCCAACTACAGCCTTACCATATGAGATCAGCCCAGAAATAAGTAAGTGCCTTGCATGTAAACTAGAAAAACACAACTAATGAAACGCTTTCTAACAACGTTTTCTTCTTTTTTTTTAAGAGCATAGAACAGATGATGTAATTGCTGCGATGGCTATGGTGTCTGAACACACCTGTATAACTTTCCATCGGAGAGAACCCTCTGAAAAAAACTATGTGCTCTTCCAAATTAGCAATGGGTATGTGGAATTTTCAACCAGTGGAACTCCAAACAAAACATATTCTCAGTTTACTCAAGTGAGATTTGGGTTCAGATTTGCATAATGTTCTCCAATAAAATCTCATCTGTCGCCCCTTAGCTGTGCTGCACATGTGGGCTTCATGGGAGGTCAGCAGAGTGTGTTTGTCGGACCATCGTGCAATGTCGGAAACATCGCTCATGAAATTCTTCACAGTCTTGGTTTCCAACATGAACACACCAGGTTGGACCGGGACGATTATATTGAAATTGTTCAGAGCAACATAATCCCAGGTAAAGTGTAAATGTCTATGATCTGATGGTGGTTTGGCTTTCATGCATTGGCAAATTAAAATTAAGTCTTAATCCTGGTTGCAAATATTTAAATTGAACCTGAATAAAGAGATGAAGCCAGATTCTACACCAAAACAACTTTTTAAATGGTAAATACAAAATTAGGGAAAGCAAAAAGTGCATTAAATTTAAAATAGGAAACGCCTTTATTGGTTTAGTGGGGAAATTAGTTTTACAGCTGCAAATATAAAGGGATGCAGGTCAATTAAATTAAGTTTCTTTATATTGCACCAATTAACAACACAGGTCATCTCAATGCACTTAACAGACAATTAAACCAGATCATACAGTCAGATTGGTTCAAAGTTTTCCACCTAAGGAAAAGAAGTTGATGCATCAACTTATTGACTTGAAGGCAATCCCTCACACTTTGCATGCTTGAAGTGAAAGTGGAGAGGAAAAACTGTTTTGACAGGAAGAAACCAGGCTCAGTGTGAGCGGGATCTGCCGAGGCCGACTGGGGTTAAAGGAGATGGAAGTAGAGATACAGAAATAAGCAGAGATACAAAAGGCAATTTTCAACCAGCTCTGCAGGCGGCCCCGTCCAGGTAAAACACAGTAAGGGAGACGAGCTCCGAGGCAGCTCCCATGTCAGAGGATGAAGAGAGCACATAGTCACAGTCGGAGAAACAGGACTAAACTGAAAAACAGGCCAAGCTCTATCATCTATAAACAAATCTGTTGATGGCAGTAGCACAGCTATTTCTCTCCAGCATGGCGTCACAGCCGAACTGGAACAGACCAGATGAAGCTACTAGAAAAAGCAGAGAGCAAAAATTGCAGAATCGGATAATATAGATGAATGATGAAAAGGGGTCCCTATGTCCTCCAGCAGTCGAAGTCTATAGCACCATAACTGTAGAGATGGCTCAGGATAACCTGAGTCTAGCCTTAAAAGTAGACAGGGTGTCTACCTGATGGACTAAAACTGGTAGTAGTTAGTATAGTAGCCTGATAACTAAAGATCTGCCTCCCATTCTATTTTTAGAAATTCTAGGAACCACTAGTAAACCTGCAGACTGAGAGCAACATGCTCTGTTAGGAACATAAGGAACAATCAGATCTCTGATATCAGATGGAGCTTGGCCATTTAAGGCTTTATATGTGAAAAGGATCTAACATTCTATCCTGTATTTAACAGGAAGCCGATTAAGAGAAACTAAGAGGGGAAATATGATCTCTTTAATTTTTTTGGCTGCAGCATTCGGGATCAGCTGAAGGCTTTTAACTACAGTTTGTGGACTTGATAGTGCTGTAAATAACTGTTATATTCAATGTCCTGCCAGCTGGGATGCCATATTATGCTGTGATACTTTAAGATGTTTGTTGCCCTACCCTCCTGGGGTGGAAAATCTCTTATTCAATCAGATATTATTCAGACTGTCATATTTTCTATGAACGCATGCCCTACTAACTGTGTGTAAGAACAACAAATGAAAGTGTGATTCGAGCACTAATCATGGTCAAACAGTTAATTCTGCACATACATGGAATAAATTCATCACACCTTCTGTTCAAAATAAGAGTATAACAAAAAACATTCAACTCAAAGTCAAACATATTTCAGTTAAAAACTCTTGACTAAAACTAGTGAAACTAAACTATGTACAAAGAGGAAGGGAAACACGGTTGAAAACCATATTACAGTTTAAGATGGATTTTGTTTGAAAACCAAAGTTTATCTGGAAGAATTTGGGATATGATCAAATTAGCTTTTCGCTAATTTAGAGAAATTGAAATGGTTTCAAACCAATTCACAATGCAAATCCACGAGGTGAATAAAACATTATTGTGGCCAAATAATGTTTTATTAAATAATTTGCTTAATCAGGAACCAATAACCTTTAGTTAAATGATTCTTTACCCTCTTTGAAATAGCTAGCAGCGAATAGACATCACGAGTCCATTAAATAACTTTTGGTTATAATTTGGTAATGGAAATGTAATGAGCATATGAGGAAGACATGAACATTTGTTATCATTGTTTAAACCCTTAGTGAAAAAGCTTGTCCAAGCTTTAACAGCTCAAAACGTATTCTTGTAGCGTAGCGTGCGATACATCTGTTAGCGTTGTCTTTACTCATCAGTAAGCGCATGAAATTATCAAAAATCAAAAGTAAAGAGAATTGGTCCTAGCACTGATCCATGTGGTACACCACAGGTAGCCCTTGAGCATGAGAAAGATTTATCATTGATGTGAACAAACTGAAATTGGTCGGATGGATACAATTTAAACCAGCCTATTGCTGTTCCATTGATTCCTACAAAATATTCAAGTCAACAAAGTGCAGGCCTTATATTCAAGACTTTCAGCAGCCTTGAGTATTTTCAATGTTTTTTGACCCAGTGTGCTCTCTGCTTTAGTTTGAGATTTTGGTTTATTTGAAGGTCCAACTATGTTAACGCCTGTAGTGTGACTATAGACCAACTGCTGCATGGAGACTTTTGCTGCATTGAGGACCATTGTCCAGAGTCCTTTCTCAGTTATGGAATTTTTTATCAAATCAACTTGTTTGCAATCCTTATCATAAGGAATTAATCTTATTTCTTCTGAGGTCTTCCCTTATTGTTTTTAACATTAGTATATTTAGAATAGAGCAAAACTTCTCAGACAAAAAACTATTTTTGTTAGAATCTTTTTCTCAAGTTTATAAAGAATTATTTTATGAACTAACTTTTACTGTAATTATTCATATTACAAGAAATGAAGATTAAAGAGGATGTCTGCCTGTACTTTGGGTCTACATGGTTTAAGCTACTGCTGGTTCAACAGAATGATAAAGCTCAAGGTAAACTTGTCTAAAAGTGTTTTTAAATAATGTTGTTGTGAATGTTTTAGGAATGGAGAAGAACTTTAAAAAGATGAGTGGGAAAACGTTTTCTGTTCCATATGACTACAGTTCGATCATGCACTATGGAAGGTAAGATTGTTTTAAAGGTTTAGTTAAAAATGGCTTTCTCGGTAAATTTGTATTTATTTCTATACTGTTCATTGGACATTTTTAACAGATAATTGATGCAAAAATCAGCAGTCTTGCTGTTTTTTTTGGGCTCTTGTGAAACATGAATGACAGTTGGCCCTGAGGACCAGGGTTAAGCATCTAAAACCCCGGTCACACCTTGACAGTTTAGACCAGCGAGTGCCCTCTGACGTACGGAAAATCTGGCAAAAACACTGGCATACGTTGGATAAGTTCTGGGTACGTTTTAAGTTATGAGGACGCTGGCACACGTCGACATACGTTGAAGTTTTGAGCATGCTCAGAATTTACTGACGTTGTGCTTAACTTATGCGTAACTTATCTCCGACGCATATCAACGGCCACGGTCAACCTGAGCAATGCCCTTGCCACCTAACCGTACTCCGCCAGATGGATTTGCTCCGCATATACATCTGGAAACCTTCCGTTGCAGTAATTTTGGGAAGGGGCGAAAATACTGGTTAGCTGATTGGCCTATGTTG